ACCGAGTAATGCAATATTAGCCGTTTCCAAGCCTCAAAATTCTTGTTCGGGAAACATCTCTGCTTCTGTTTTTCCTTTGGTGTATACAATTAATGCAGTGGGAGTTTTATTAACTATATACATTTTCCGTTATTATGTGTGTGTAAATGCGGCATTATGTTTGATAATATTTAAGATGGATTGCTACTTATGCTTAATGCTATGTTTAGTTTGCTCTTGATAAAATTTTGCGTCTAGCTTAATTGACCTGTGGGTTTGAATTACAAAATACACAGACCACAACAGCAGAACGGTGACACAAATCCAATGCCTATGCTCATGGTGATTGACATGCACTCAACTCTGATGTATCCGGAGGCAACGTTGCTTAAACATAAGCCGGCATTTGTGCAAACAACGTGACAGCACAAACAGTTAAAACATAAGACTTGGATAGTTTTGGGTGGATTTAGCAACTGTTGTTTGCCTTATTAATTCATGCGACATTTCTTTTCGTTACGTTTAATAAAACACACCAAAATGCATGCTATGATAAAGAGGACATTCAGGATTGCCTACTTGGTTATACTTATACACAATTTTACAAAATCATAATCATAGGAAAACATTACATTAGCTTACAAAATATTTAATTTGAAAGGAAGGAGTGAAAGTTGAAAAAATCTTGCTGCAAGTTATTTATTGTTTGATTTTTTATGTGAAAAGAGTGAAATACTCTGATTTACTTTATTCGCTTGCTACAAGTTTCCTTCGAGGAATTTCTTTGGAAGCATTTATTTGTAAAGTAATTTGAAAGGCATTATAAAAATAAGTAGGAAACAATATAATCTGTATATCAAAGGAATATAAACAATTTTATTTAAATTGGAGCGTGAATCACAATTGAACTGAACTTTGTTACAAGCCAGACTCTAGGCATAGTTAAGAAAGCAGGCAAAACAATAAAAGTTTTCTGCGGAAATTATTGACATGTTCCAGTTTGGAAGTTGCTTTAAAAACTCGCTACAGCATGGTTAAGTCAATGTCTGAATATCTGAAGAGGACAGCTAATTGTGGCAAGTTACTCGCATTTCAGACTGTCTATAAAAACGCACAAGGGGGAGCTCACTCAATTACAAGGCAATGATGCGGCATCATGCGTTTAGTCCACAATTATGGGGATTTCTGCTTGTGTGGGTTGCAAAATGACATGTTTGATAAATTGTTCGATTAATGACAAGCACTTCAAAAACAGATTGACGTAACTTATCATTTAATCCGCTCTGCTCATAACAGACTTCTTGAAATTGAGCTTAAATATCAATACGAACAATTCGAAGGGCGGAATTCTATATGAGTACTTATACTGGCAAAAACTTACTGCAAGGACACTTTACATAGCCGCCATTAAAAATAATTTTGTGCCTAAAAGCACTTCGCAAGAAAGAAAGAAAGAAAGAAAAAAAGAGAACCTCATGAAGGCATCGCCTGAATTTTTGTTGTTCTTGCTGCTGCTGCTGGTGCTGCTCACTTGCATAAAAATACTCATAAATCAAAGTGACGCGTTGTAGGCGGACGGATGCGGGTTCGAGGGCTGGAGCCGTCATGCTACATGCATGCAGCGCTCATTTCCACGCTCATTAAAAAATGGACGCCATTTGCCAAAGCATAAAACGAAATTCCAATGGCCAAATGTGCCGCACGCCGCCAAACACCCACCCAAACACACATACTTATATACATGCTGTACATGCATATGCATGTAGCGAACTCCACTCGAAAAACTAACACGTCATAAATCTTGCAGAAGTATCCTTAAGCGTTCTTTCTGCCACAAAAACGCATCACATGAAAGGCAGAAATCCAGCGGTGTAGAGTGTTGCAGCTCATTTTTTTAAATAATATATATTTTTTTTTTACTTTTTTAATTACAAAAGCTTTCAAACGGCTGGGTGGGTGACTGGTCGGTGGCTCGTTTTCTTTTACTGTTTGCGTTGCGCCCACATAAATATGCAACACTATTTTCCCCCACAAGACTTCGGCCTTTAAGAGTACCTCGACCATTTCAATCTTGTGAATTGCTGCATGTTTCTACATGCTCTGAGAATGTCTCGCCCCTGGTTGTCAATATGGCTGGGCTGTGTACCAAATAAATATTTTTTACGAATCGATTTATATTCTTTATTGTTACTAAAATCTTTCGATCAGACGTAAACAGTGAGTAAGGTTTTCCATATTATGGTAGCAACGCAGAATTTTCTCGAAGAACACATATCCATAACTTTGTAAGCAGCGTGAGAACATCTTTGAAGATACTGATTTATATCTATATAAAGCCTTCGACCGTGGTTTATTGGTTCAACTTTTATTATAATTCGCGTTCAGAATACTTTTGGTGTGGGTATCATATTTTTGTATGAGTAGTATATAATATATATACTTGTATCATTAGCAGTAGAACTATACGGGTCAGTCGGTGTTTAGAATTAGTGATGAAGTGAAAGAAGTCTCCAATTTATAAGCGAAAGATGACTTATAAGGGAAATGAAGATGGCTGCGGTAGGGCACATATTTAGTTACAGCAAGTGAAAACGCTAAAGCCGGTTGTTCCGACTTTGAAATACTCTGTGCATATGTATGTGTAAACTATTGTTCAATTCAGATTGGCCCAGTAAGCCCAAACAAAATTTTAGATGGCGAATAGTGGATGCATTGGGGATCCCAAAAACAGATAAATACTCTCAAATAAATTTTTGTGCAAATAAAAGTTGTGGACAACGATGAAAGCAATATCAAGAAATACAAGTATAATGTTAAATATGGCCAGGACTTGTTTACCAGGCGGCACAGAATTGAGATAATGGCGGCGCGTTGCAGTGCCACAGGGCGTATGCGTATTATGCAGTTAGTGCAAACAATAAATGATAGGCGGACGTCGAAGGCGCGCTTGCCGTTCAAAGCTGACTGGCAAGGTTAACACGCAAGTCAAAGTGGAAACCATAATTGGAAAATCTAATAAATGAGAGGTGGCCACGACATCAGCGACAATGAAAGTGCTCACTGACGATGTGAATTATCAGGATGTGGGAGGGGCTGATGCTTGGACTGCGGCAACGATAATATTGGCAGGACATTAAATTTATGAACTAGTGCGTTGCAGCTGATTTAACATTAGCATCATCAGGTGACTTTGCCTTTGCAAATTGCTGTTGCTATTGCTAATGTTACAGCATGCGGTCCCAACTCTATTGCTGCACAAAGGGAACGTAAATGAATTGAGTGTGTCGAGGCTGACCGGAGCTTTAATTTCATTACTTTGGTACAACGTTTCATGGACAACGACGCCGCTGCGCACATAATAGCCAGCTATTTAAAAGTGCATCGTATGCGCTACAAAGTCGGCTCTGCTTCAATTAAAACACATACGATGCACTTTGCGAACATAATTAATGGCTTTTTGTCAAAAACAAAAAATATATAAATAAAACTGAAATACTCTGTACATATGTGTACTATAAATTACAGACAAATTTAAAAAAGTAAAAAAAATATAAAGTGTGTATAATTGCACATTAAATAGGAATTGTGAGCACATGTCTCTATCTCTCATAGTCTCCGAGATCCTGATGTTCACACGCAAGGATGGATAGAGAGACATAGATCGACTCGTCTTGTCATGCTGATCAAGAATATATATACTTTGTGGGGTCTGCCGCGCCTTCTTCTGTCTGTTACATTTTTCACTTCCCGCAAACCTAGTACAGTCTTGTACTTTTCATGTACAGAGTATAAAAACGATCAAGGGTGCCACAAGTTTCAAAATCAATCTCAAAATCAATTCTCGTTGCAATAGAAATCTCTTTTATATTAATTATTAGTTAATAATCCTGTATTTTGCCTAAAGAAATGGATTAAAAACACTAATAAATACTTTTTTCCTTATAAAAAAATCATTGGAATATAATTTAATATATATATATATACATATATAAATATATTTATTTAAATAAATACGTACCAGCAAAACAAGATACAAGTACATTTTTGTATTTTCTGAATTCAATTTCAAATGCTAGTTTTTTACCGGGCAAAACATAGATCCCCACAACAGGACTTAATTTTCGTCCACTTTACGGAAGCACCTATTCTAGCGAATCATTGTAAAGTATTATGAGATTTGTATACCAAATATATTTCAATTGAATCCCAACAAACAGAGGCAACATCACACAAAACAAATTATAAGAATAAGACCAACAGACTTTTTCACCGATATTTACGTTGCAAATTTAAAAGTTCATCTTCAGTTTCTGGCCTATACTTTACTTTCAAGATAAATACCGATTATTTTTCATTATTTTTGGAAAATTATTGGCAAATTATAATAAATAATACTATCAGCTCTTTCGCTTCCGCAAAATAAAACAGTTTTGTCAATTTTCTGGAAGAATCGCGGGAGCACGGCTGTACATCTACAAACAAACAAATTGAGTGGATATTTGATCATTTCCGTCTAATTCGGTTCCGCCCTCTTCAGCGACTCAACCCTTTAAAGTACGTTTAGCTGTAGCTATAGTTTCACTTCAACTTAGCTCTCGCTCTCTGTTGCCTATTATGCTTCCAACAACGCTTTTAAGTGTGCTGTAATACTCTTATTATTGTTATTATTATTATCATCAACAACAAGTGCAGTTACCGCCCCAGGCATCCACAAGGATCGCCTCGAGCTGCTTCAATGTTTCTGAACTTATGTATAGTATGAGAGAAAAATGCAATTTGGTGCATTAGGAGGAAATTTCATTTAAAACTTTAACCCAGCCGGCCGTTCCTTGCAAAATGCCTGAAGCTGTTTCTGGAGCGCATGAAAGAGAAAACAACTCAATTGTTATAAATGTGTATTTTGTATACGTATTTTACATATAGTCGTTTATTTTTATAGTTTTTTTCCGCATACACTTCGTAGTAGCGCATTAAGACCCTTTTTAATAACTTGTTTTGTTCTTTCTCTCATCCTTTTGCAGGTTAGTACCCATTGATAAGATGCACGGATATAATACCTATTTGTGGTAAGCAGCAAAGAAGCTTTGAACAAAATGTCTATACATTTGAAATGTATATTTAAAACGAGCGGGTCAAAATCCACTCATTTCAAATGAATGAAATGAAATTGAATTTGCCGCGTATTACATTATGCAATAGCATTATGTTTAAACGTAATCGCATAAAGTCCGTTTTTAAAAGGCTTTCGCTTATCAAGAACAAAACCGTATAATCTTCAATTAAATTTTACTTTTCTGCCACAGTCTCGTGTGTATATATTTGTACGAGTATTTACATATTTCGTAACACAAACAAACGTGTAAAATGTCAGAAAGTCGCCCTCCACACCCAAAGTAATTGCAGAACGCTGCCAACACTTACATAAAGAGAATATCTTACACTGCGACCCACACGATGTATACATAACGGTTGATTTTTTGTTTTTTAATATCCAAAATACTGGTCTTAAGGAATCTGTTTTTTTTTAACATGATTGCACGATTTGTGCCGATTACATAATTTCAGTGTATGGCTGCACTCGATGACAGTGTCAATAATTATGAAACTTCCAGTTGCTCGAACTTTATTACTACCTTAAGTTACATTCAACATATTTCGTATTGATTCCTTTAATAACGAAAAAAGGATCATTAGAGATGGGTAGGATGTTTAGGATACTGTTTTCGGATGACTGTGAGATGTGCGTTGTAATGGATTTCATTAAATGGATATCATCCAAATCGAATAATAAATAACAATTAAATATTCCAAGGGTTCCAAAGCGAAATATGTTTGTTATTAATATTAGAAACATTGTGTATATAGATTGGGTCGTAGCATAGACATCAGTAGTATTTTTAGATTCAAAAGATACAGGACTTGGCGAAAGGAGTCTTGAAAATAAAGATATTTTAACTAACTGTAGCCGAAGAACTTTGTAAATGAGTTTTTTTTGTTTGGCAAGAATCGTCAGAATAACTTGTGGGTTAATGCATCTTATGAAGGCTTGATTCGCTTCACATTCTTCATATGTAGAACCTAAAGAGAATACATGAAAAAGCCAAGGTAAAAAGTACATTATTTGTCATTTTATGAATATTCTGAAGCCCATAGTAGTTCATTGTAAATGTATATGATTTAGCCACTTAGATCACAGACTTTTTCATTTTCCTAATGGCGGTCCTTAAATCTGCATAGCATAAAATCTACCCCCTAGTATTTAGCAGGCGGTCCAATAAAATATAACATACTTACTGCGTATGCGCGATTTATGTTTGTTTGGCCTCGTTACAATGTAAATATATACTTCATTTTTAATTTAATATATGTATGTATATCGATGTCGAATATATGTATGTAGCTCGCACGAAATGAAATACATAAGAGTATGTACTTATATAGTATACATACTATACACATACTCATATTATGGACTACTTCAAGATGCCAGTCAATTAAAATTGTGCTTTTGTTTGTTTGGGTGGCTTTGAGGTTTGCCGAGATTGGTTTTTCGCTGACTTCACAAGTTCGCTGCGCCTCACCCCTTTTGTGAACTCAGATGTACCATCAAAATTCACAAGGGTTAATTGTTGGAAATCTGCGCACGTTAGCACATAGTTCTTTATATGAAAATACCCTACGATGACCCACTCCCACACACTTTACGAAGTCCTTCTCTTAAGACGTGCGCTGCTGTTATTGTTTCTGCTATACACTTCAGCTGAACGCCTTTGGGTTCTTCCATGCTTTCCTATTTAGTCAAGTAGACAAAAATTAAACTGTTCACGATTTAAACTAAATACTGAATAACTTTTGGGAAGGCAGTTATTTAAGGCCATATGGCAAAGTTTGAAATGATTTCAAACCGTGAAAAATACCGGTAAGAAGTTAAATTATGACTACATAACAGAGGAGGGAAATAAACAATTTATAATGGAATACAAAACCAAGGACATTTCTCTGCTTTTTGCAACGATTCATTATGATGGCAGATAACAGGCAGATTCGTCTCGTCTTGCTGATATGTACCTAAAACAAGTGAGAACGCTACAGTCGAGCAAGCCCGACAGTGTAATACCCTGTACCCAGGTAAACTTCCGTCACTGAGTTATATGCGCCCATAGCAGCAGCAAAAAGATGAAGAAGAAGAGCGAACTTGTTGCTGCAGTTTGGGGAGGTTGTACTGGCGAGAATTTGTTTCGCTAATAACTTTTCTTAGAATTGACCGAATTAAAATTTTGAACAACAGTAGACAATTATATATAAATTATGTGTGCAAAGTTTGGTTTAGGTAGCATTCGAAATGTGGACGCTATTGACAAAATTCTGCAGCGGGGGAAGGGGGGGAAAATTAAAAAAAAAAAAATAAACTCGTCCTTACTCGGACCTAGGAGAATCTGGATGCCAACTTTGGTTATTCTAGCTTTTATAGTTTCTGAGATCCTCGCGTTCATCCAGACGGACAGACGGACGGACAGACGGACGGACAGACGGACGGACAGACGGACAGACGGACGGACAGACGGACGGACATGTCTAGATCGATTTCTCTCGTCATGCTGATCAAGAATATATATACTTTATGGGGTCGGAGATGCTTCCTTCTGTATGTTACATACTTTGCACAAACCTAATATACCCTTTTTACCCTACGGGTACAGGGTATAATAATAGATTCTTAATCGTTTCCGTGAATCTTATAGTTTATTTGTACTAATACATACTCGTATATTGCTTTCAGAATGTTTTATGAAAATTGAAAAATAAGCACATTTTTGACCAAACACGGTCGCGTCGTTTTATGTTCTGAATCAATTAAAATATCCATTTATATATTTCCACTCTTTTTATTTTTTGTTTGTTAGATTTTTGGGATTTGAAATGCTTGACTAACAGAACTGCACGATAATGTTTTTCTAAGCAACAACACCATCATTTCGTATTAATCATCTGCCTGTGCAGCCTAGCGGGGAATGAGCGTCACCATCATATTTATGGCTGGCAGTTCTAAAACCCAGTTTGTGTGTTAATTCACGTGGTCATAGTTGTGGCCAACAGACCCAGCGTTTTGGACTGAACATTTGCATTTAAATAAAAAATCACTCATACGCACCATCGCACTTGTATAGCACATGGTAAACATACCACGACCCGCGAGCTCAAACTCAACCAAAGGGAATAAACATAAAAAGGTTTTTGTGCGACACTTAACTATGCCATATACTATATATATATTTATATATATATATTGCACAAGCACACTTCAATCACACTGGGTCGAGTGTGGGGGTACAACAAATGTCGACCACCTGCAACAATATTAAATTAAATTTGAAGGCAGCCAAGCAAGCAACCAGACTGGCAATTGATGCTGGCCCCCACAGGTTTCTGGTGCAGTGGATGGATCAAGGAAAACCAAACAATTTCAAACTATTAAGCTAGCTAAAAGCAGCAAATTTATTATTCTACATCGTGTCGTAGGGAATCTATTGAGTTTTAATTTGTGTGCAAGGTTGACAGCTGCTTGGACAATTTTTTAATTACATTACACTTTGCAGACAGCTGACGTTGGATTCTTGACTCTTTCTTGTCCTGTCCTGTGTCTTCATTGATTTAATAAAGAAAAAAGGAGTCAAGCAAATCCATTTATTAAAACGAAGGAAGTCTTAGCGGCATGTTCATAAATAAGAGCAAGCATCAAACTCTATAAATATAATTTGAATTAATTGGCTCCAGGTGTGTTGAGCTTGATAATTAAATGAATACCTTTAAAGATTATACGTCGTGCATCATTCATATGTGAAACTTTTCTCCATGACCTTGGTATACTTTGTGCCTGATAGGTTAAAGGTGACACTCAGGAACTCGAAATGTATGTAACAGGAAGTGGAAGGCTTATCTCTTCCTCTTAGAGGCATTTCGATTGAACAGCTAGGGACACCAAACCTGACATTTCGATTTATGTAATCCAGACGCAAACGCAAATACAAGATTTAAACACAGAATCGATGCCTGAAACACCTACTCTTGGAAAAGTACATAGAAACGACGTTGTTGTATTACTTCAAAAATAATTTTAGTTCAGGTTTTGTGGACGATAAATTTGTAGATTTGAAGAAAATTGAACACAAGTTTTCATTTTCAAACATCTATTGGACAATCCAAAATGTAAGGTTTTCTAGGAAAGACACATTTTTGGAAAATTAAACTAGATACGGCCAAAGTCTATTAAAATTGGAATTAGAGTCAGCCCTCTATATTAGCACTGACGTGATTAAAATTAAAGAGATAGAAATTCAGTAAAGAACTCCTGCTCCTGCAGATTTGCTTTATTCAAATATGTATATTTCTATAATGTGTAAAAAGCTACAACTCTCTGAATAATTGTATTGTTAACAATTGCTAACTTAAGGATTATAACCCAAATTGTCCTTATTAGAAAAGGCATTCAAATAATTTTGGTGCGCCCAGTTTTAAATGTATAAAACTGAATAAATTCTTGCCATATTGATTGGAGTTGATTTTAAATCGAAAGCACACAACAACAATATCAAATAATACTTATAGCCTTGCGCGTTCGTTTTCCAATTGGCGACAAGAGAATTGCATTCCCACATAAATCATTTTGCAGCAAGCAAGAACTGCGACAGAGCCAAATTCGTTTAAAATCGGCAGCGAACAGCAACCCTGCAGTGCGCCCTTAACACTGTTCTCTTGACCGCTTTCTTGTTGTAGTTGTTTTTGTTTTGTTTGCTGTAGTGTTGTCGTCGTCATCGTGTAGCCGTCCTCGACATCGCCGTGGCTGCCAATTCGCTCTCACCTGCTCGCTTAGACAAACACGTAATCGAATAATCCAATTTGTTTGCGCAAAAACTGAAACTTGTTCATAAGGCTTCAGTTGATGTCGCCCTCTCTGTGTCCCTTCGGCTCTGTCGCCGGCGTTCTCGTCCTCTTCATCCACGTTGTCTGAGATAGCAGAAGACAATATTTTTGCTTTTTGGTTTGATTTTTCGCACACAGCTAATTGTTTGATTGTGTTTTCTACAATGAAAATTGAGCCAAGTTGCTTGTAAGGCAAGCTACTCAAAGCTTGTTGAATTGCATAATTGGCCCGAATGATGTAACTCTTGGTCCGCCTCAGTTTCAAGGTAAAACTTACTGTTACTACAAAGTTGTTAGTTACTACTAAGTTGTTAGCTTTCTTCCGCCGGCTTTATCAGATTTGCAAACAAATTTGTTATTGAATAAAATTTGTCATGGACATTGTTTGTCCACAGTTCTATATCCGAAAACAAACTCGTATAGCGTACACACATAAGGCATCTTTGTGCAAAATTTGGTGTCTCTATCTCTTATAGTCTCTGAGATCCAGGTGATCATACGGACGGACAGTCGGACAGACGGACAGACAGGGCTAAATCGACTCGTCTTGTCATACTGATCAAGAATATATATACTTTGTGGGGTCTGCCACGCCTCCTTCTGCCTGTTACATTTTTCAGCTCGCGCAAACCTAATATACTCTTGTACATTTCATGTACAGAGTATCAAAATTTGAACTTGTTTAAATTCAACGCTTAGTCAAGTGAATAGAAATACCTGCAGCTACAGTTTAATTTTTATTAAATGAGAAATCATAAGTTAATTCCATTTTTGACAACAACAAATATAATTGTATCTCCAGACATATATAGAATATATATGTTTTTGATTGAATTGACTAATTATACCCTGTACCCAAAGGGTACAAGGGTATATTAGTTTTGTGCGAGTGCACATGGAACACACAGAAGGAGGCTTGGTAGACCCCACAAAGTATATATATTCTTGATCAGCATGACAAGCCTAGTCGATATAGCCATGTCCGTCTGTCTGTATGAACGCAAGGATCTCCGAAAGTATAAGAGCTAGAATAACCAAACTTGGTATACAGATTCTCCTGAGCCCGAGAAAGGACGAGTTTGTTCATTTTTTCATCATTTTTGTGAAGCACGCCAAATTCGCGAAAAATTATTCGCCACAGATTAAGCTTTACTTTTAATAAAAGTTAGTCAGTAATGTACTATAGACGATACCTTTATTTTGTAACTGAGTACGTAATTTATTAAGATGGTTGATGATTATACGGCAGTGTTAACCAATAATCAAGAATCAAAGAGAGTTTTACAAATTTGTACACATTTTTGTGTGCGAGTTGCAAGCACTGCGCCCTGTTCCTGATGTTGTACGAGTATTTACATTCTTTGTTTGCCAATGCAAAAGCAACTCAATTTTTTTTTTGAATAGCCTAAGCCCCCAGCTTTGTTTCGTATTTAGCCCACACATTACAAACCTTGTCAGCCTAATACTGGAAAGGCTTTTAAGCTCGGTCGCCAAGGTTGCGCCTGTTCTGCAGGTAGGGCTAAGAGTCCTAAGCTGCAATCCTTACAACTGTCGCAAGTAAAAGAAAGAGCATATTTTTCTTTATTTACATATGTGCATGTGTACAAACATACATACATATGTATGTATGTACATATGTACTAGGCTTGTATGTAAACACGTTGAAACTATAAGCTGGCAAATCATATGCGCATTTTTAGTCAACGCACACTTCTTGAAAATATGTTTAAGCTGCCTAAGACAAACTAAAAACTCGACTGTGTTCCACTCTAACACACACACACACACATACGAGTATATGCATACATACGCACATATGTACATATGTGTGTGTGCGAGTATGAATTTGTTTGTGTGCCTGCATGTACGAGTATGTGGCCGGAAGCCATTGTGGGTTAAGCAGCAAGCAGGTAACGAAAAGCAGGCTTGCTGATAGCAAAATACGGCACTTTATGAAGAGTAAGACAAGTGAGCGAGTAGTGAGGGGTGAGAGAGCGGCGACTTACGCAACAAATGACAACTATACAAAAGCAGAAGATAGACCTGCGGAGCGAAAGAGAGCAAGGAAGGAAGGAAGGAAGGGAGGTCAGGCGAAAAGACTTGTTTACCACCCTTCGGCGTCACTGACAGAGGCAGCAGCAGCAGCAGAATTAGAATGCATTGTCTTTTTATTCAGTTTTGTGTTCGTAAACTCTTTTCGCTGTTGCTGTGTGTGTGTGTGTGTGAGTGAGTGTGCGAGTGTGCGTGCCACATTTCAAAGGCTTCTGAGTGAGCTTGTCTGTTTGGCTGATAGGCCTTTTTGCTGCGTCTTCGCCGGCTGCGCTTGATTTCTTGCTGCAGCCCCGACACAAATTAGCGTTTTTTGTTTCCACTACAATTCAGTTTCGTTTGCAGTCTGCAAGTGGCAACATTGCAGCTAATATATATAGACATAAAGGCCCGAGCGTTTGTCCAACTGCGCGCAGTTAATGTTGTGTGTGTTCCTACAATCCACGAAGTGACGGAGTCAATCATGAACTATCTCGATGCCATGCTATGGTAAGGCATTACAATATTTTATGAAATGTGAAACAAACATACTTTGCGTCCCAACTCAGAATGATTGTCCATATGCTCTGCCAGCTGTATTCTTTTTACATTGAATTTTTCATAGTATTGCTTTAATCCGTTGGCATACAGAGCGCACTCGATAAGACGACTTCTATCGCTTCAAAAAAAAAAATAGCACATTGTTGTTTGTAAGTTTCTAAATATCTTACAATTTTAAGTATATTATTGTATTTTATGGAATATTCTAATTCATCTAAAGCCCAAATTATTTCAAACGACAATAAGTTGTTGTTTTCTTTCTTTGGGTTACATTTTAAGTCCTATACCAACTAATGTTGGGGGCAAAAAGACGGCAAGATCGATTAACTTATATTGGCAGCGAAAGAAATCAAGGAAAACGAACAAGTAACTTTAAAATATGTAATAATAAATACATAGTGGGCAACTTGACGGCATTAAGAAACGATTGCAAAATGAATTTACGACTCTTAAATGATTCAAAGTATTTAAATAGCTGGATGAAACATTTTTCTTTCAATCACACATTTCTTAATTTTATTAAACAAATGACTGTATGAATTTAGTATTCTAAATATTGTTGCCAGCCAAAATAAGTCAATTTTTAAGCTCTTTAGGAAAGTCTCCAAGACAATTATCTCTCCTTTCAACATCACTTAACTCAGTTGCACGAAAAAGAGGCAACCATATTTCCTTTGAAAAATCAACCTGCCCAGTAATTTTCGGTTTTAAGCATAAACTCTATTTATGTTATTTCTGAGAAGTGTTCTAGATTTAGTTTAGGAGGCATAGCCCCAAAAAATGGTTTTAAAAAAAATTGCAGTGGACAGCTAGAGGCTCTCTATTCTTTCCACAACCCACGCCTCGACGCGTTGGTCAATTTGTGTTTGAAAAAAAAAAGCCTAAGAATGTTGCCTAGAAATGTGGACAAGCAAAATGTTAGCTTGTGCAAATATTTGTAAACGTAATGTCTTGTTCGTAGCCATTTGCCTTTGCCCGTTGGCCAAATGGTCGTACACGGCCGATTAGAAAATGCTTGCTCACTCAAATGATGCGTAAGAATGAAATTAGTGCAGCTTGGCAGCAGTCACACATAGTCACACGTTAAAGCAAATTAAACCGACAGTCAGCCAAGCAGCTTAAATTTTATTTATAGACGACTGTTGCAGTCTTCATGCCAAAAAGCAGGCTATGTTTAGTTCCCTACTCGAGCCCACACACTCATATTTAATGAATGAATACCTATGTATGTACTCGTATATACTAGTGTGTGTTGAGCTACGGGTATCATAAAAATGTGTGTTTTAAGCCATTAGAAATATAACCCAAATACTAAGATGGCTGTTGCCTTTCGGTATCAAATTATTGTGTGAACGAACTGCTGGCCCGAACTACTTTGCTTTTCATTCCTTTTGGTTTTGGTTTTGTTTTTAAATACAGCGAATGTTCCACATCGCTTTTTGCAAGTTTTTTTTTTACAGTTTTTGTTGTTGTTCTTTTTTTCAGTCAGCATTGAGCTTGAAGCGGCTGATGGGCCTTTCTGACTACCATGAAAAGCATTTTACACATGGCAGCATTTTTTAATTTTCCAGCGCAGCTCTCAGAAATTCAAACACAAACACACACACACACACACACATACACTTGCACTTACTAATTAGAAATGAAAACGCGAGCTGCACATTTGCTCATTACGTTTTTGCTACCCATTGCCGTTTTATTTCCACACATATATTAACACACATACACACACAACATTCACAGTCAACGAGACGTCGCCATCGTTTGTTTAGCACTACAGCGTGTCAACACTATACAATATTCGCCCCAACTCCCCCCTGGCCATAAGGCGCATTGGCGTTTGTTTGAAAATAATAAACACCCCGACGCGCCGCCAACGTCTCCAGTGATGCATCAGCCAGATCCCCGCCCATGCTTAGCATGCGTCCGGTGTGGTTGCTGCACCGCCTGTAGTGCGACAGCTCCTGCCACAGAGACGCGTCGCAGCCCTGCGCCACGAAACTAGATCCTTCCGGCCTCCCCAGACTCTCGGCGAAGAGCGCAAAAGCACGCCAGTGGCTGCACTCGTTCCAGAAGCAACCTGGCTGTTGACTGCCCCAATTGGCATAGAAATCTGCATGGCCCAGTGGCAGATCGAAGCCGTAGCTGCCCACACTGGTGTGCAGGACCTCCACATAGTCGGCATCACCGCTGGCTACTCGCTCTCCCTCCCGGGCGTAGCGGAAGAAGGGCGACGCAGGATCCAGTGCTCGGATTATTCGCACACGGCCAGTCTGCACATGCTTGCCCGCAATGCCCGCCACATGAGCTCCCATGCTGAAGCCGATCAGCTGCAAATCCTCGAACCCCATGCCCGCCTCCCGATGCAGAAAGTCTATAAACTTGGCCACCACTTGGCCAACTGACTTCACGCGGTAACTGGCTGTGATGTAATCCGCAATGGCCCCACGACCCCAGTCCACTGTAAAGACGTTGTAGTTTCCTCCACCTCGGCCAGAGTAAACTGGCAGAAGAGTGCTGTAGATGTTGGCGTGTGCATTTCCCAGCCATCCGTGGATCAATATGCTAAAAAGAATATCAGATTGTTTGTAGCATTAGTAATATTTTATCAAACGCAACTATTTTGATTAGACGTAGCTCTAAACTCGATCTCATCTAAATCTTAACTCCCCTTTCGAAATATTCTGCTTCGAAATCTGGCTAAGCACTCTGCCAATTAATGATCGCCGAAAGTAAATCAGTTATCACTTCCTTAAATCTTTGCTCAGACTACAAGTATATGTAGTTTCCGAGTTCTTTCTTTTCAAGCACCTATCTATTATCTTTTCCTATAGCGTTTTTTCAAAATCCTTAGATGAATCGGTATAGACATGTCGGTTCTATGAACTTTGTTTTGATATATTACGATATCCGAACCATTTGGGATCTTTTTGACGTTTCGTCATAGCCATATCGTTGCCCTCTCTACTATATATCAAATGCTTTACTTTAACACTGAAGTGTGAATAAAAAATTTGATGACTAACGTTTTATGTTGTTCGGTTTCTGTATCGTTAATGTACATATATATAGTTCAAGTATTACGAATCAGTTCAAAGATAATGCAACTATAATAAATTTTTGAAGATTATCAATTTATCAAAAGGTTTTTCCAACGTTATACTGCTGCTCCATCTCGAGATGAGAACCATATTTGATTATTTGATTGGAAGCTACCTATTAATTGTTAATACTATTATAATTAATTGGGTAGTCAGATTGCTAAAATGCAGATGAGCTGCCGGCCCTTTTCAGTAATCAACGGAATTACAAATCATGCAGTATATAAACACAACTGATATTCTCTCAGTGTAACCGCATATACACATATAGTACATTATACACTCTGAATCAATGACACCGTGACTCACCGAGTGGGATTGAAGGGATTGAAGCGCGTTTGTCGCAGAGACTGTGCATCATACAGTTGCACATTTTCCACTTTGACATCTGTCGCATCTAGCACTCTGTTTGAATTGAGGCCAAAGGCCGTGCTCAGCGTGTTGCTTACCACGTGCGGCAGCACACGGCTCTGACCCTGCAGAGACGCCATTGGGTAAGTATGCAATTGGAAGTACGTCTGCCGCTCAGCATTGTACAGTAAATTATAGTTCTGCAGTCGCAGTAATTGTTCATCGAGCACATTTTGGTTGCCACTGCTGCTGCTGCCAAAGTTTTGTCTTTCCAATATTGGCAACATATTTGGGCTCATTAAAGTGTTGCTGCTGCTGCTGCTGCTGCTGCCCTTAGCTGTATTTTCCTTTTGTGTGTCATCAGTGTCACTGTCGTACTCATTTCCATTAAGCCGCAAACCCTCCCACACTTGCTTCGTCTGCTCCTCAATGACGGCACTTTCCACTTCATTTGGCGCTTTTACTTGTGCTTCTGCGGGTCGGATGCCTCCTCCTCCTCCTCCTTCTCGAACACCTCCCACTCTTTGACGTACACTTGGGAACTGCAACTGATTGTTTTCTATTGTCGGCCTCGCTGCAGTGGTAAAGTGTGCCGCCCGCTTCGTTGACTCACGGCTGCTTAGTCTGCCCATAGATTTCGGTTCTAGTCTTGTCGCAGAAGGCCACACTATAACGAAGGTGCAACGTTTCGAGAATGTGAGAGTGATGCATGCATTAGAAAGGAATATTGCATTCAGCTTCAAGCGCCTTTTACAGATGGCTCGTGTAGGCTGCGTGAATAGAATTTAAAGTAAAAGAGATCTTCTAGTGCTCGAATGCCTTGCATATACTACTAAGGAGAATATTGAATTTTTTACTTTGGGACACGTCTAAGACTTACTTCTAACTTGTTCTTGTCCTTTTATTATTATTTGTTCATTTCAATGTGTATTTTGTGCGATTTGCTAAACTTATTAAACTGCTGTGAACAAAATTAGTCCTTTTAACAGTAGAGTAACGTAAAAAGTTACTTCTCCGAGGATTCATTTATTTTAGTTGTACTTATTTTTTTTGTTGCAAGATTGATTGTCTCCCACCTTTAAATCATAAGAGATTTTTTACTGCCAGCCAATACTATGCACAACTTCAGCTTATTTTTTTTATTTTTTGGGAAAAGTTTGAGTTCAGACGGTATTCACAAATTGTTTACTTCGAATTCACTTTTTTCTGTAATAATCGGCATATTTGGCTAAGAAACCAAGTTCGGGAGATCGATTTCCAGCAAAAGTAGCTCGGAGCTCAATTGCATTCTTATGAAATATTTATCTATATTTAAAAAAGTGTAAAAACTTGCAATTCAAATATCAAACCACCTGCAATTAATGTGACTTTAACTCACAAAAAATCAATCGAAATGAGTTCAGGAAACGATTTCTGTATGACCGTAAATTGAAGAGCTGAATCTTTTTGAAAACCATAACAGCCATTTAACAAGAATCTGAAACATATCGATAATCACTGCACACTTATTGATGCCGTGTGAACTACACTTCGAGAAAATTAATGCAATTATTTGCGCACGATTTTGCATGGCAGCCATGACTTGTTGAGGCTAACATATACACATGAATATGTTTTTACACGGTTTTGATTTAACACGGTTTGAAAATTATGTTAAATATTAAATATGTTATATATAGTATAGTTACACGACTTTATTGCATTTAGCACGATACATTTTGCATATGATCAATGTCTTTTTTTGCACGGTTTAATTTTTACACGACTTTTTTGGGAGCCAATCTACCGTGTAAAAACGGAATTAGGTGTATATATATTTATACAGTTCTGCTGGCTTGTATAGAGACCTTCAGAGTCCGTTGACCACGTGTTCTTGGAAATATTGTTTTCCCAATATGTGTAGTATGTATGCATACGATAATCACCTGCTTGGCAAAGGAGCACGAGCCAGAGACCTTGCAGCATTATATCCAAAAGTTGTAATTTATCGGTGATATTTTAAAGTACTTCTCTGCAATTTCACAACTTTCACCGACACTCGCGATGCTACGTTGTTTTCAACTGGGAAGCCGTCGTTCGACTGCTGAACTGAGCCCACAATTTTAGCTTCCAGTTGTTGTGAAAAGTTTCATAAATAAATAAAAATAAAGCTAAAAGACTTTTGTTGAAGAACGTTGAAAATTGGGTGCTTGTTATGGCTTTACAGAGTTATTAATATGCTGCGATTCACACTTTAACTGTGGCTATGGTGGCTGCTCCGACCGATTTGTGCATAACAAGCAGTAATTGTTGCCCACTTCAACAGAAAACAACATTTACAAAACACGCGTCATTTGCTGATGATAATGTGTTAAGTCAACAAAAGTTTGGCGGTACAGCAGAATTTGTGCCACTGACCAAATTTCAGGAGATGGTACTTAGCACTTACCTTTGGGATAGGTCAATGTCCCAAACCCCCCACCGCAGACACAATTATCGTCTTTCCTGACGATGCTGTTTCGACTCGGCGCTTTTCCTCTCTTTGAAAACAAACAAAAATGATTTTATATTTTACAAAATGTCTGTAACGTCGCTAAAAATCGATCTCCATATCACTCAGTTATAGTTTTATTAGCATTAAATTTAAATAATAAATGTTTGATTTATTAAATGCATTTAATATTAATTTAGCAAGACAAGAAGAACTCTTCTCGTTCCAAAAGTTTTACGTGCAAGTCAATAGAAACAAAACAAATTTGAAAATAAATCCTCCTATACATGCATTACAGTTACTCGAGTACAAATTTATGTACATACTTATATACGAGCCCCATTACTAAATGGGGTACCATTAGCTTTCAACAGCTCAGCCAAATATCTAGGCTTGATACTAGATAGGAAGCTGGACTGGAACTTGAACATTGAAGACAGAGTGCGGAAAGCCACAATCGCACTCTATACCTGCAGAAAATCCATTGGACTGAAATGGGGCATGGCCCCCCATGTGGTCCACTGGCTATATACTGCAATAATCAGACCCATACTTTTATATGGTGTCTCCATATGGTGGCCATCCCTTTCGAAAAACTCATCTCTTCAGAGACTTAACAAAGTTCAGCGACAGGCTGAACTAACGATCTCGGGCGCTTTACGCACTACTCCAAATGATGCACTAGATGCAATTCTGGGAATACTCCCAATACATCTCATGGGAAAAATGAACGCCACGCTGGCGGCTCTTCGCATGAGAGAAACAAACCAGTGGTCAGAGGAATGCTTTGGTCATGCCAAAATTCTGAAGGGAAATGACAACATCCCATCAGTCACTGACCACTGCATCGCAGAAGAGTATCCACATACTCCTTTCCACACCATCATTCCCTCTAGGGAAGATTGGAACTTCGGCCCGCCAGGCCCAACCAATTCCATCAAAATATATACAGACGGTTCTAAGCTGGACAACCGCGTAGGCGGGGGTGTCTTCTGCGAAGAACTCGGAATCAGAAAAGCCTTCAGGCTACCGGATCACTGCAGTGTGTTCCAGGCGGAAGTAACAGCCATTCAAGAAGCTCTTCTTATACTGCCAAGCCCAGCCACACATACCAGAGAAATCTGCATTTACTCGGATAGCCAAGCGGCTATAAAATCCCTTAACGCCATCACGTCGAACTCGACGTCAGTACAGAACTGTCGCAAATCTCTTCACGAGATGGCAACACAGCTCTCTATATACCTCATTTGGGTCCCAGGCCATAGGGATATCGAGGGAAACTGCATAGCCGATGAGCTGGCAAGACACGGTACTACCGCCTCCCTCCTCCCAGACAAGGAGAGCGTCGGTACACCGATGGCCAGCTGTAAACTGTCAGTCCGAAACCACTTTGACTTGGTCGCCAATCAAATGTGGACCACCGACACAGACTCCTGTAAAATCACACGCCAAACATGGCCAATCCTCAACAAGAGACGATCTTCTGAACTCTGCAAACTGAGCAGAAGCCAATGCTCAGTCGTAATCAGAGCCATCACAGGGCACTGGCTGGTGGGCACCCATGCCGCCAGACTAGGGCTCCACCATAACGATTTCTGCAGAAGCTGCAGAGACGTGGAAGAGGAGGAAACGGTAACACACCTCTTCTGCGACTGCCCGGCCTTGTCAAGAACAAGACATCGATTCTTAGGAGACAGTCTCCTACCAAATCTATCGGCACTAGCAAACAAGAAGCCGATAGACATCTTCAAGTTCATCCAGGCAGCTGGATGGACGTAATACTCGCGCAGACATGCAGCCAAACACGGGTATTTTGGGAAGTGGACTTGTCCATGCGGTATCACAACGGGCCAATCTACAAGGCCTAAGTGAGTCGGGGTGCATACCCTGGCTGCCGCTCCGACCGACCGACCGACCGATATACGAGTACTTTGTTCTCCAAATTCATTTGTGATGCCCTTAGATGCTTTAATGGTTAGTTTATTCCCTTTTAATTAATTTATGCAAAATGTGTTTTATTTGTTTGCGCGGAGACAATAATATCAACCGAATCCTTAAAGTAAGCTGTTCTTAATTTGTATTATGCTCCGTTTCCACGCTAGTTGTGATAGGCACTTTTCAATTTAGAGCTTGAGAAACACTTTTCACACAAACTTGGACACACCCTTCAATTATTGAGCTAGAAAATGAAGAACATCTGACTTGGTAGTGTCCTAGGGCTTTGTCTCTGGTAACAGATTGAATAAACCGAATACCAAAATGGACTTGCAATCAATGCTAATCTTGCAACTTATTGTAAAAAGCTTAGTGCTCCGTACCTGCGTCGCAGAGGCACACAATTCATATTAAAGCTGCTGCAAACAATATAAATGTGGTCGTTTATTGTATTCAGTACATGAAATGGCATACAATTAGATTTGTACAAAAATGTAACAGGTCGAAGGAGGCGTGGCAGACACCACAAAATATATTCATACATGAGTATGTTCTTCATCAGCATGAGAAGACGAGTCGATGTAGCCTGTCTGTCTGTCTGTCTGTCTGTTCGTTCGTATGAACACATAGATCTCAGGGACTATACGAACTAGAGACTCAATACCTCTGTAAATATACCCTTTAAATGAGTTTGAATCCTATGTGAGGTATAACCGAAAAACAAAACTTTTTTTCAATTTAGTTCATTTACCAGTATTTATATATTTATATTACAATTCTACTCATATGAATGTACAAAGTCTTTGCACCCGACCTTAGCATTTCCACTTGGTTTTATCTGTGGCTGTTGGGAAACAGTTCAAATTTTATGCCTACTGCCATAACATTTTAATAAACGTCTATTTGTATTTTTTTTGGATTACTTTCAGGTAAGTTGATAATACAGGAAGCGGCACTTCCTCAAACAAATATGGCGGCAGTCGTTAAGACCGCCATTTTGAACACCAAAGACGCATGCATTTCTTGTGGCTGAGCTGAGCTGTGCGGAGGACTTCTATGCAGCATTGTGACGCGGTGAATCGTGCAATTTTTTTATCATCGTAAACTAATCAGCCGACGTGAAGAACGTGACGAAAACAAAAAACTGTGAAATGTCAAAAGGTAAAAAATCGTCGCATTATCTCGAGTGCACAAGGCACACAGCAGCCCCCCATTTCAAAAACGAGC